AGAGAAACCAATGACCACTATACACCACTAAATCAAAAAGGAATCTTATAAAGAATCAATAGATGTCCCTGTGGACCTAAGATTCTGATGATTCCATCCATGTATGACTGATCCCTGCCAGGTACATGCAGAGATGTAAGTTCAGACCGAACACCCTGATCGGGTTGGCTGAATAGACCCACACACCATCCTGGTACTCCTGTCATCTTCAGGTAATATACCGGTGTGTCTCCTACATCAGTAGTCACACAGGAAGGTCGTCGAGGCATGTGGGATATGATCCCTCCCGTCTGATCCTTTGCGAGGTTCGGAAGGACTATCCTCCCCACGTCACTATGTGCTCCAACAAACACAGGAAGGAACCCTGGTGTGAATTCCATATTCTCCACCTTCTGGTCCTCCTGACGGTTTGGAGGTTTACTCCATTCCTCTTTAGAAAGAGGGACTTGCACAGGGCATTGACGAAAAGGCTTCACAGGAACCAATGTCGTAAAACACTCATTTAATGAAGTGTGCCCTGGCTTCACTCTCAGGACAGAGTTGTACTCTGACAAGAGTTGTTCTGTAACTTGTTTCTGGGAGACAGAAAGAGTTGGGTTAACCTCTACATCTTTATAGGTCTCCCTGGAGTGAAGAGGATATTCCACAGCTGTGGCTTCTCCACCTTCCACCTCCATAGCTACAGAAAGTGTCAAGAGGGTCGGTGTGTCACTTACCTCTCTCTCGTTGTACTTCCGGAGGAGATTAATGTGATAGACCTTTGACTTACCTTTAATGTTGATCTAATAATGGATCCTGGATATCTTTTCTACCACCGTATAAGGGCCTCCCCAAGCTAATTCTAACTTAGACTTCCCTGAGGGTTGAAGCAAAAGAACCCTATCTCCAACCTCAAGACATCGTTCCTTCGTCTTCCGGTTGAAGTGCGCAGCGTACCTCTTACGTGCACGAATCAAATTCTCCTTAGCCAGGTCTCACCCTAGCTTTAACCTTTACTTGAGTTCCTGTACATACTGTGATATGGTTTTCAAGGAATCATCTGCCCCTTCGTCTGTCCATGTCTTCCTGAGAATGGCCAAGGGTCCGGAAATGTGTCTTCCAAACACCAAGGTCGAGGGCGGAAATCCAGTAGAGGCATTGGGTACTTCCCGGTAGGCGAATAGTGCTGCAGACAGATACTCGTCCCACCTCTCTGGCTTTTCCTGGGTTAATCTTCTCAGAAGCGATACCAACGTTCCACTGAACCGCTCATTCTGGGCGTTAGCTTGGGGTCGGTATGGACTGGTGCAAATGTGTTGAGATTTGATTATCTGAAAAACTTCCTCCATTAATTTCCCTCGGAACTGAGATCCATTGTCTGTCAGTATCTGCTAAGGGAATCCCACTCTTGTGAAGATGCTCATCAAAGATAATGAGAATAAATCAGGCAAATAGTAATGTGGTTTCTCCTAATGGCACCCCACTCCAAGACGTGGAGTCAAACACCTATTTAGATAAAGCTAATGTAGATAAAGATGGAGGAAGTGATAGAATTAAAATAAGAATACAAAAGGCAAGAGGAGCTTTCATAGCACTAGGGAATTTGTGAAGGTCAACAGAAATTAAAAAAAAAATACTAAACTAAAAATTGTTAAATTTTAATGTCAAATCAGTACTTTTGTATGGGGCGGAAACATGGACTAAACAGGCTCTAGTGGACCAAGAGGTGAGGAAAAGATGCTGGCGTTGGATAGGACACACACGGAGAAAACAGGAGAACAGCAAAAAAATAATGTCTTTGCATTGGAACCCACAGGGGCATATGAAGAAAGGAAGGCACACAAAAACGCATGGAGAAGACAGCTGGAGAATGAAGTTAGAAAGATGGAGAGGACATGGGCAGAGCTCCATGTAATGGCGAAGGATAGAACGACTTGGCGTGAGTTGGTTGAGGGCCTATGCTCCATTGGGGGATAGAAAGGCAAAAGAAGAATTTACCTCTATGGTTCTCGAACATTTCACACATGATTCCTGTTTTCCTCAACTGGCACCCTTCAGCCAACTTGCACTCATGCCTCGAGTTATTCATTGCTCGATCCGTTCATGCAGACATTATACTTCATAATCGATACTATTCAACTGATTTCAAGCACATAATTTATATTATTATATATTTAACCTCATTTACAAAGGACGAGAACATTCATTCACAATGAGAAAAACGATTCATTACACTACATGAGGAAGTATCGGTCAAATACAGTCTGTTGAATATCCTGCGTGAGTTCCAGGACATTACTGAGAAAAAAAAAAGACCTACTGCCCCTAACAAGCATGTCATATAAGTCGATTAATTAGGGGATTCCTTAGAAGTCTGTGCAACTACCCAAGAGGCAAGGAACCAACAGTCTGCATTTTGACAAGATCTGTAAAATGAGTACAAGTATTTGAACAAAGCCAAAGTCTAGAAATGGACAAACAAACAGGACTACCTGCCAGATGGACAAACAAACAGGACTACCCGCCAGATGGACAAACAAACAGGACTACCTGCCAGATGGACAAACAAACAGGACTACCCGCCCGATGGACAAACAAACAGGACTACCCGCCAGATGGACAGACAAACAGGACTACCCGCCCGATGGACAAACAAACAGGACTACCCACCAGATGGACAAACAAACAGGACTACCTGCCAAATGGACAAACAAACTGGACTACCTGCCATATGGACAGACAAACAGGACTACCTGCCATATGGACAAACAAACAGGACTACCCGCCAGATGGACAAAAAAACAGGACTACCTGCCAGATGGACAAACAAACAGGACTACCCGTCAAGATTGACAGCAGGTAACGCAAACAACTGTTGAAAAATATTGTGAATATATTTTACTTTCTGAATATTCCAGTGATGTCAGGATTGGGGTGGTGGGGTCACGTGAGCCACAAAACAAAATCTGCGTTTGAGAGCTATATGCCAATATAATATATACTCTATTTCATCTACCACATGCCTTGAAAGATAACCGAATAGATGGATTACAGAAACCTCTTCATACATTTGTAAAATAACATGATTTCACTGCAAGCTTGGAAAGAAAATGAAATAAAATCCTTTAAAAGCGAATCGTACATACATGTTGTATTTAATATTTAAAAGTCAATCATACATACATATTGTATTTAATATTTAAAAGTCAATCATACATACATATTGTATTTAATATTTAAAAGTCAATATAAAACTCAGTATAAGAGTAGTAATGTACAGAGAGGAGTCACGTTAGTGCAGTCGATAGGAGGCTCGCTTTCAAATCCAGCTGCGACTCGCTGCACCCACGGTCGGTGGTCAAAAACGGGTGGTTCCAGGGTTACCCAGCCTCTAGGAAATGGGTACCAGAGGATAAATAAAGAGATGTTGCTGTAGCTATGGAGTTACGTGCGGACGGTGACACAGGGGAACAGTTTCTTATCAGCTGGTGGCAGAGCACTTATGGTTTATAACCGTGTGTAGTGACGCTGGTTCACATCTCCTGACTTTACCTTTTTAGTAATGTACAGAAATGTATTGCAATACTATAAACCTAGGTGACTTTAAAATAATCTGTCATTGAATTCTGTTTTTAAGACTCCAGATTTATGTAGAAGTAGGATCTGTGTTGCATTTGCCTCCACTTGCATTTCAAACCAGTCGATGCACTTTGATAACATCATTTCTGCTCCTGAGTAGCTAGCTGTAGGTTTCTGGTTAACAACGAATACTTCATCTTCATAATTTGTGAGAGGATGACAGATAACAGAAACATACAGTGAAGGTTAATCAAAGTTTTAGTGTACTAAACAATCAATCATAAGAACTGCATTTATGGCTGTCAATATTTGGATGATTAGCATTCTGTAAAAAATCAAACAAAAGTACTGCAATCATAGCTGTAAAATTAAACAATCAATAAACAGTACTGAAATCAAAATTATACAAATTTATGACACACATTTACTCATCATCATCATCATCAGGTGCCTTGCCGACTGGCCTTGGCAATCATGCCTCTCCATAATCCACGATCTCCTGCAGCATGTATCAGTTCATGTGCCGACACACCTCCATGCCATGCAACAAGACTGTCAAGAATCTTCTCTCGTTGTCTTCTATTACTCCTTCCATAGATCTTTCTAGTGGTCACAACATGTTCTATTTTCCCTTTTCTCATAAAATGGCCGAAAAATTATGACTGTCTCTTTTTGATGTCTGCTCCCGCCTCTTTCAAAACCTCTTGGTTGCTCTTTCTGGTTGTCCAAGGTATTCTAAGCATTCTTATGTTGTCCACAGCTGAATTATAAGGTCATTTCGTGCTACAAAACACCCTGACCAGCCATAATCTGGCTTTAATTTCTCTCAGAGGAGTGCCTATGATGACTGATAATTGACCTGCTTTGAACTGTAAAATTTCCAACGACATTGAAAACCCATGTGACCGTATTTTCTTGACATTTTACAGCAGATTGGTTTCTTTTTCAAAGTTTGTCACCTTTTTTCCATGAAAAAAACTGATGACTTTAAAATGTCTTTTATTTTTTCAAGAGTACCTTCCATTCCAATCTATCTTCACATGTTTTTTCCATTTTCTGGCACATAACACAACTTGCAAACTTTACAACTGTAATAACTTGCATATAACACACAACTTGCAAACTTACATTTACAACTGTAATAACTTGCACATAACACACAACTTGCAAACTTACATTTACAACTGTAATAACTTGCGCTCATGCGGCCCATCTTTCAGTGTTTACAGGTTTGGTCTCTCGCACAAAATTCTAGGAAAATTATTTTTTTTCTCACAATTATTGGCTCAGAAACAGCGTGCGGCCAACACATGCAAGCGGCTTGAAAGTATATATGCACAAATACAGTATTTTTGCTCCACTGAAGCAGAAATCATCAAACAGCAAACTCTAGTCCCCGACAGGCAGCAGTCACAAGTTAATCTGGAATGAAGCACTGATGCTCACAGCTTTGATGACAAAAATCTGACCAGGTGTTTCTCTGTCAAACGACTGTAGGTGGCTCTGTCTGTGTCCAGGAAGTACAGAGGGTCCTTGACCTTGTTCAGGTCATATCCTTCATTCATCAGTTGCACTTTCTGCTGCTTGAAGGTGGCAGTCACCACTGCGGCATCTAGCAGACGCACAAACAGAGGTCGGGCGTACACAGGAAGCTGGTCGCAGACATGATCGTACAACTCCTTCAGTTCCTGTGGGCCAAGGTTACAGCCTTCATGGAGTGTCAAGGCCACCATTCCTGCCCGACCCTCACTGCCTGTGGGTATACACATATACATAACTTTATACATTTTATATATATATATACACACACACACATATATACACAAATACACACACACACACACATAATATACATATATGCCTAGGCAGAACAATGTCGTATGTAGATGATATCCTTGTTTACCGTCGAGGTAAAAACAGGCAGGAAATTACAACCACACTACAACACAAACTAGACAGACTCAGTGAGTGGTGCCAGGAATCAAGAGCTCAGGTGAACCCGTCCAAAGCCTCCTTAACATGGTTCTCTCTGAATACCCACATTGTTAGTACACCAACGCCAGTCGTAAGCATCTGTGGTGTGGACATTGAGAGAACGGACACCATGAAATACCTGGGCATGACATTTGACAGATGCTTGTCATACAAATGCCACGTAGACAACGCCATACTTAGAGCCAGGAAAGGTTTGACAGCACTCAAGGTGCTAGCAGCAGCTGATATTGAACGTCTACTTTTCCTTCTCTATCAAGGGCTTGTGCTTAGCGTCATTGACTATGGTCTTGGCCTCCTCACTGTCAGCAAAACCCAGCTAGAAAGACTGGACCGAGTACAGAATTAGGCCATAAGACTCATACTCGGCTGCACAAAAGACACCTCCTGCAACGCCATGCGTTATATCCCGGGTCTGCCGACTATGACAAGCAGATACAAAGTGGCAAAGGTCAAGGCTTACATGAGGGTATCGGCAGACGTTAACCACCCATTACACAAAGCTATTCACGACACAAAAGGAACGCGTCTCAAAAGAGGCCGCTCTTGGATGACAAAGGCTGAGGACTTAATCCAGCAGGTATTTGACCTAGACGTGATCAGTCACGGAAAAGAATGGACGAATACACCAGTAGACATGCATGGCATCTCTAAGGTTGTCATCACACTCGGAAGGTACTGAAGGGATCAAATTCCTGCGGCCGTAGACACCGAAGTAAGGGAACTGATAGATCAGCATTCAGACCCAGAAGATACCATCATCTACACAGATGGATCCGTGAAGCGTGGATCAAGGTCAGCATGGGCATACACAGCGCAAAGAAAGGGGAGAACAATACATGAGGACAGCGGCGCTTACCAGACAACCCTGTCAAGCATGACAATGGAAATAGCCGCTACTTCTAGAGCTTTAGCATGGGTATCCGAGCAAACCGCCACACAGGTAGTAATTGTCTCAGACTCAATGAATATGCTTCAGAAGATAGCAACAGGCAGTATGCGCTCTGAATGGATAGAAAGCATTCGGAAATCGCACTTAACCTCCGTAACCTGGATCTACACACCAGGTCATACGGGCGTGAAGGGAAATGAGCGAGCAGACCAACTGGCAAGCACTGCACTAATGATTGCGGGAAAAAGTATGGACAGAGCAGATATAGTGAACGCTGTACGAACTGGGCTAGTGGAGAATGAGGAATCCCTGACACTAACACGATTGCGTGACATGGAAGTTAAGCATGGTGATGCACGTCTTTGCTGTCTTCGAGGCCGAGATAGGAGACAATATAACCAGCTTCTTATGGGGACAATTAGTAGAAGTACTTTGGAGTGGCTGCTGCTTCGGAGAACTGAGCACGCATGGGTATGCCCAATGTGCAGTGACATCAATTGTGATAACAAAACATAAAATAACATCTTGTAGGGAATCGGCCGTCCGAACCCCAAGTTCAAGGTGTCTCCTTCGAGTCAAAGAACTGCATGGCTGTTGGGTGAACAGTCGTTAACGATGGCCGGCAGGTCGTTGTAGGGGCGACGCCTGCTGGTGGATGTAATAATGAGGGTACTGCTGGGGTGACCGTTTATTAACCCTCATATAATGCTTCCGGTCAGAATGGACGCTAAGCATGGCCACCCTTTTTTTTTTTAAGCCGTGGCAAATGTTTTTTTTTATTTTTATTCTGCCAGATGGTGGCCGTTGCATTTTTGCTCCATTTGTAGAGTGGAAGGATGTAGTTTCGTCGCCCAGCTTCTGAGTTAAGTGCATGGCGTGACACTGTGAGCTGCGTTTGTTTTTCGTTGGCACAGGAGTGGAGCAACTGTGGGGTGACCCGTTTGCTATGAAGCTGAAACTAGGATTACCAGATTACAAATATGCCTACACACAACATATATATTTATATATTGTAAAGTAAAGGACCCGATTCCACACCTTCACGCATACAAGCAACACCTATATTGTAGAGACCAAATGGCACTTGATGGGTGCTGTGGTCAGCATCACGTTGATCGCCTTCATTTTCCAGGACTGAACCTGGTACCCACTCAAAGTTGTGTCAACCTGGGAGCCAAGGTCATTTCTGAAACAAAAAGTCTGTCCCCTGTCAGGACCAGAATTCACTGTTGCGTGTCAATTTGGGTTTCTCAACACTGATTATGCGAATGTAGTACAAGCCCATTGATTGACCAGTCCATTGGGTGTTCGGTGACATGAGTCAATATTGTGATTCTGTGTTGACTTAAGACTGGAGATTTCAGTGCGGCTTGAGTCAATATTGTGATTCTGTGCTGACTTAGGGCTGGAGTGACCAGTGGGTTCGCAAGGTGTCAACTAGTTGGGGGTAAATTGTCATACCTAGTTCACTTAAGTGTTTGGGCAAGAGAGGTATGCAGGAAAGGAAAGGAGAATCGCGTGTGACTTTGAACATCTTGAGCTGCACGGAGAGCTAACATGACACGCATGTGTATATACTAGGGTTGAGTTCAGTTAAGAAGAGGACAGACTAGAAAACGGCTGAGAGCACTTGAGTCAAGGGACCAGTCAAGAGTGCAGTGGAGAAAAGAGAAGTCCAATTGGCAGAGTTGAGCCAAGGAGAGCTCGGCGTTCTTCGTTTTTAAAGCTTGTCTTGGGTGACAACGCATGTTAATGGTTGCAATCACTAATGAAACAAGACAACAGTTCTAAATACGAGGGAGATCCTCATAGATATCAACAACAGGTGTGTGCTAAGAGGACTTAGAGTTGGGAGTTTCATCGTAGATTTCCTCAACCAGGCTGATGTGCTGTGTGCACATTATGGAGCTTAAGTATTGTGCAGTTTTCATTCAGCCGATGTAAAGAGTCTGCTATGAGTCTAGCAATGGAGGTCAAGATAAGAAAGCTAGATGGAGCCTATTCATCCTAACTGCTAGCCTTGACGTGAAGGTAGCCAGCAACCTGGGCACTGAAGCGGCGAGCTTAAGAGTTGTAGTGACAGCTAGCGTAGGCTGTCAGATGGAGTGCCGCTGAACTGCTTTAAGTGAGCGGGCGTTTGTGACATGCATTTCATGCTTAGCCAGTGTTAGACATGTGGGTGATGCTTCATGTCCATTATTATTTGTAAGGGTGTGTGTACCTGAATAATCTTGTGGAAAAAAATGTGTAAATATGACAGCATGCCGTCGTTTTAGTTTTTCTGACTGTGTGCAAGTTGTGAAGCTCATATACTAGACAGTCACTTGATCACATGTTTGTATGCTGATAGTATTCAGCTTACAGCACTCATGATCTTATAATCTGCATGCGAGCGCCTAGCCGCAATACTGCGGCGGCTCCAACAGATATATACATACATAAATTTTACAGATACATATATATAAATGTATACATATACATAAGACTAAGATACATCATACAGACAAGTTTATACAAACATGTAGATAAATTTACACATATACATAAGACTAAGATACATCATACAGACAAGTTTATACAAACATGTAGATAAATTTACACACACACATATATATATATATTTAGTTATAAGTTTACAGATAAACATAGATAAGTATACTGTTATGTAGTGATATATAGGGTGTGTATTGCTTCCTAACCAAGTATCTAAAGGCGACTGATTATGCCTCCTTCATATATGAAAGTTCCCCCCAAGCCAACCTCCTGGCCACTAATGGGGGTTTCCCTACCTGGAAATACTAGGTTAACACAATTCTCATAGTCATCTCATACACTGAGAAAAGTCCGTAGCCAATCACATAAAAAAAACGGGAAGAGTAATTTCTTTACTTGTGCTTCAAACTGTTGATTTGGATGCAACACAACATAACAATAAGCATGAACTGGTGATACAGGACCACTGTCCATTTAAAGCTCAAACTATACACCATAATATTCCACCAAGGCGGTGTCACATGAAAGGGAACACCTCGCCTCAACTTGGCGTGAGTCCACAACATACTCCCTACTGTCTTGTTTCACTGGTGGTCCTACATCTCCTCGCATCGTCACCCAAGACGGATTCTTCTCCTCGGTTACATGCCCTCACTTTGGGTCACTATAGCCTATACATGATAACTGATCAGAGACTCGCCCCCAGGCAACAAGTCTCTCGACACACAGTCACATCAGAATCATCACGAGGCACTATACAATGCCATCCTCGCAATTCCGCCACAATTCACCGCACGACTTTTGTCGGCCTTGTGGCAAATAACATGTAGGGTCCTCCATGCCTTGTCTCCACACAACGGGAGCATTTAGACTCATACGCCAAAGCCTAATGCACAAGGTAAACTTTCACTGAACTAACATAATACACATAATTACTACTAACAATTCAGACGTCTAAACATGCGTCCGCATGGTCGGACTGGCTGAGAGGCACTGAAATTAACACCCAGGACCAACTCTTAGCTCAGCGCTCGGGACCTCGCATGGTTCTCACTAAGCTCCGGACACCGCATGGTTCTCACTAAGCTCGGGACCTCGCATGGTTCTCACTAAGCTCGGGACCTCGCATGGTTCTCACTAAGCTCGGGACCTCGCATGGTTCTCGCTAAGCTCCAGACCCCACATGGTTCTCACTAAGCTCGGGACCTTGCATGGTTCTCACTAAGCTCCAGAACCCACATGGTTCTCACTAAGCTCCGGACCCCGCATGGTTCTCACTAAGCTCGGGACCTCGCATGGTTCTCGCTAAGGGCATGCAAACCACTGTTAGTTGTGATTCTCCAGAAACACCTCTTCCACAACTTGGTGTACCTCGAGAACTCGTCTCATCTCAAGCCACATGGACCCATTTTGCCCACGTCTCTGTTACTATCATCATCCTGTGCCTTACGACTGACATAGGCGATCATGCCTCTGACCAGCCCAGTGAATTTAGCCGGCAACATATACATACAGACAGATATCACTAACAGGGTGAGAATACATCAGCCCTATTCTTAGAATAACATTTTATAGTCAAAATGATAACATCAGCACTAATTAGAACGTCGGCTCTTTGCCCTCGAGACAACTGATTTATTTCTCTAGTGTAGGAAAGAATGCAAGTAGCATCTGAATAATAGAACTGGCAGGGACAAGAACAAGATGGGTTGCTTGTGTAACACTATGTACCCAACTAGAGGAGTAATACACTACAGACTCCTGCAAAAGTGGATGAATACTGGGTCAACTTGTCCCTTACTGTGGGAATCCGAGACAACTTTCATGAGAATTCATATTCTGACAAGATGTGATTTTGTGGTAATATTCTTTGCGTCAGTATTTATCTGGTTTACTAACAAAGAAGCAGGTAAGTTATAATGTACACCATGTTGGTCACTGACCAGATTTGTTATTCATTAGAGGCAGTAAGTATACTTGGTACCTGCATTATCTTCTGAAATCAATGTGGGTCCAAACGGTTGAACTCTCGTGCAAGTATGCATGTATTCAGGACGACTTTTTCATGCAGCACCGACGGAGAAAGTCAATGCACAGAAACTAGCTATTCTAGTAGGAAGAATAGAATCTTTCCTTGCGATCTGGGGGCTGAGGACAAACTTATGGGGATGTTACTATTGCTTGTGGCTGTCTAAATGAACATGTGTCTTAACACCTGTCCTCTGTCAGTATATAAACATGTCCCCCCACCTTCACCACCACTGTTCATACACATACACTTACCTGGAATGGTCACTCCATACACATTAGCATCATGAACAAAGCTCAAGGCACTGATAATGTTAGCAAGTTCTGTTGTAGATACATTTTCCCCTTTTCCACCTGTGGTGATAAATATGAGCTATGATATGAATTTTGAAGGAAAAAAACCATAAAGTTTGATGCACACACACTGTGACACATATGCTGCGCCATGTAAATGGGTGCGTGAATGTGAGTTATGAGGTGGGTTGTTGTCACAGCACTTTAGACACATCCAAAGGTGCTCAGATTTCCCCTTTAATATATACATCAGCCCTTCCCCAGCCCACAGTGCCAGTCCCATGATGTAACAAAACATTTTGTATGTCTGGTGTGCCTCATGCTTGGCTGTTCTTATCTTCACTCCAGATTTTCACATTCTTAGCAGCGATGTGAATATGCTGCCCCAAAATTTGTTGATTGTCCTCTCTAAGGGCATTAAAAATGTTGATGCAATCCATAGGCTGATCATCTGCAACTAAGGCACAATCTGCCAGTTTATCAGCTCTTTCATTGCCAACAGCACCTACATTCCCTGAGACGAAGAGGAAGGTAACTACATGCACAGGTGAGTTTTGCAATGATTAATTCCACTATCACTGAACAAACCCTACCTGGACCTGACAGATCATCCTTATAGAATCACAGTATAGAATCACACAGCACACAAATATGGGAAAAGTCCTGTGATTTCAGCCACATAAAAGCTTGTGTCACTGCCATGATCTCCATCATCATTCTGCTAGTAGTCACACAGAAGGCTCCGCTGGCTTCCTAGATTGTTCTGCCTGTAGAGACAGGTGTGAATGCCCATGCATTCTTCTGTGTTTGTTCGTACAATGGACCCATCTGTGCTGTATACATCATCACATCTGCATCATCTGAATTGTTAGTGATAAGGTCATGGATATAGGCCTTGAAAGCAACCGAATTCTGCTCCTATCAAGTGTGACGACACAGAAGAAGGTGCTTTAGACAAAGATTGTAAGACTGCAGACCTGCTTGATATCATCCTCTGCCCTACCCAGTAATGATTTGCCATTTTAAATCTGTTGCCATTTATTCTAAAAAGCATGTCGTGCACAGGGTCATTAAGATCTGAGCTTATCTTCAGGTATGCGCAAACCCTAGAAACTTTGGTCGTGTATTTCATGGAGGTAAAGTCAAAAAGATATCTCACTGATATATAAGAGGTGTCTTTTGTGCAGTCTAGTAAATATTAGGCTATCCTCCGAACTTCGGGCACTAAAGATGGCGGCCGCAAAATATCCTTTCAAGCCACAGTCACGTGACTTAATTTGCAGTTCTCCTGCGATTTTCCGCCGACTACCGCCACCGCCACGAGTCCCACATCTCCTGAAGCTTGGCTCGTGAGTCCTAGCCATCTAGTTTAGCCCCAATCCACGCCGCATGAGCGGCGTGTGGGACTCGTGGCGGTGCAAATTAAGTCGATAGAACTGTGGCTCAAAAGGATATTTTGCGGCCGCTATCTTTAGTGCCCAAAGTTCGAAGGATAGCCTAATATTATTTGGCCGAGAAGTGAATCAGAGAGATGCCATTATCTGACAGAGAAAAAGAACACAGAGATGACATTATCTGACAGAGAATTAACAAAGAGATGACATTATCTGACAGAGAATTAATAAAGAGATGACATTATGTGACAGAAAATTAATACAGATATGACATTATCTGACAGAGAATTAACACAGAGATGACATTATCTGACAGAGAATTAATAGAAAGATGGCATTATCTGACAGAGAATTAATACAGATATGACATTATCTGACAGAGAATTAACACAGAGATGACATTATCTGACAGAGAATTAATAGAGAGATGGCATTATCTGACAGAGAATTAACACAGAGATGGCATTATCTGACAGAGAATTAACACAGAGATGGCATTATCTGACAGAGAATTAATAGAGAGATGGCATTATCTGACAGAGAATTAATACAGATATGACATTATCTGACAGAGAATTAACACAGAGATGGCATTATCTGACAGAGAATTAACACAGAGATGACATTATCTGACAGAGAATTAACACAGAGATGGCATTATCTGACAGAAAATTAATACAGATATGACATTATGTGACAGAAAATTAACAAAGAGATGACATTATGTGACAGAGAATTAATACAGATATGACATTATCTGACAGAGAATTAACAAAGAGATGATATTATCTGACAGAGAATTAATACAGAGATGACATTATGTGACAGAAAATTAACAAAGAGATGACATTATCTGACAGAGAATTAACAAAGAGATGACATTATCTGACAGAGAATTAACACAGAGATGACATTATCTGACAGAGATGTAACACAGAGATGATATTATCTGACAGAGAATTAACAAAGAGATGATATTATCTGACAGAGAATTAACAAAGAGATGACATTATCTGACAGAGAATTAATACAGATATGACATTATGTGACAGAAAATTAACAAAGAGATGACATTATCTGACAGAGAATTAACACAGAGATGACAATAGGTGACAGAAAATTAACAAAGAGATGACATTATCTGACAGAGATGTGGAACACAGAGATGACATTATTTGACAGAGATCTGGAACATAGAGATGACATTATCAGACAGAGATCTGGAACACAGAGATGACATTATCTGACAGAGATGTGGAACACAGAGATGACATTATCTGACAGAGATGTGGAACACAGAGATGACATTATTTGACAGAGATGTGGAACACAGAGATGACATTATCTGACAGAGATGTGGAACATAGAGATGACATTATCTGACAGAGATGTGGAACACAGAGATGACATTATTTGACAGAGATCTGGAACACAGAGATGACATTATCAGACAGAGATCTGGAACACAGAGATGACATTATTTGACAGAGATCTGGAACACAGAGATGACATTATTTGACAGAGATCTGGAACACAGAGATGACATTATCTGACAGAGATGTGGAACACAGAGATGACATTGTCAGACAGAGATCTGGAACACAGAGATGACATTATTTGACAGAGATGTGGAACACAGATATGACATTATTTGACAGAGATCTGGAACACAGTAGTTGATAACTTTGTGTGGAAGCCAGACAAACTTTGCAATTATTATAAGTACTTAAAAAAACATCCTTTGAGAACTGGAAACACGGTAATCAGTGTTTACATGTTAACAAAAATGTGGGCACACTGACACAAATAACAACAGTACCTTTGTCACACCTATAAAAAGTTGTCTGACAATGACATTACCTGAAGGTGTCTCCGATCCTGTCTTGGAAATACAAAAAGTAATCCTTGTCACAAAAGAACACATCCCCATAATTGAAATACAAGTCTCCAGGAGTGAATGCATCCCTCACTAGTTTCTGCTCAATGGCCTCCGGAGAACTGCGGTACATGGCAAATGTACCGTTACTGATGACATAATCTGGTACTTTAGACAGGAAGAGACCAGGCTCACCTGTAGAGAAATGAGGCCACATCACTTGTAGAGAGGAACATGGCCATGTCACTTTATAGGGAAACAAAGCCATGTCACTTTATAGGGAAACAAAGCCATGTCACTTTATAGGGAAACAAGGCCATGTCACTTTATAGGGAAACAAGGCCATGTCACTTTATATAGAAACAAAGTCAAGTAACTTTATAGAGGACTACGGCCATATCACTTTACACAGAAACAAAACTATGTCATTTTATAGGGAAACAAGGCTATATCACTTTATAGAGGAACACAGCCATGTCACTTTAGATAGAAACAAGGCTATGTCACTTTATAGAGATATACAGCCATGTCACTTCATAAAGAAACAAGACTATGTCACTTTGAAAGAAACAAAACTATGTCACTTTATATAGACACAAGGCCATATCACTTTATACAGAAACAAAGTCATGTAACTTTATAGAGGAATACAGGCATTTCACTTTACACAGAAACAAGACTATGTCACTTTATAGGGAAACAAGGCCACATCACTTTATATAGGAACACAGCCATGTCACTTCATAAAGAAACAAGGCTATGACACTTTATATAGAAACAAGGCCATGCTACTTTAAAAAGAAAAAGGCCTGTGTCATCTTATAGAAAATGAGTCTTTGTTACTTTATCAAGAAATATACTTTACTTTTTAGCTACCCACACTGGAGGATGAAATGAATTACTCTTAACAACTCACTACCAATACTGACAGATGTAATGAGTTACTTTAACTGACTACTAGCAACACTGACAGATTTAATGAATTATTAAAACTTGACACAGAATCCACTGGTAGCAGTCACTGAACCATCAAGTTGAATCTGCCAGGCTCAGAGCTTGGCTCTTTAGGTTTCATTTCAACAGATTTGACTCTCTGGGTGTTATGTCTACTTGTGAAGTCTGTCTTCTTATTTGTAATCTTAACTATTCTCTTTGGCATCAATAGTTGACTTCTCAACAGCAGTATTTTATATGCCTGTCCAGTTGTCTTGTACCAAACAGAGGAAGAATTAGATTCTACTGTCCTCTTTAGATGTGAATTTAAGTGTTCACAGAGGAAGAATTAGATTATCCTCTTTAGATGTGAATTAAAGTGTTCACATAGGAAGAATTAGATTCTCCTCTTTAGATGTGAATTAAATTGTTCACAGAGGAAGAATTAGATTCTCCTCTTTAGATGTGAATTAAAGTGTTCACAGAGGAAGAATTAGATTCTCCTCTTTAGATGTGAATTAAATTGTTCACAGAGGAAGAATTAGATTCTCCTCTTTAGATGTGAATTTAAGTGTTCACAGAGGAAGAATTAGATTATCCTCTTTAGATGTGAATTAAAGTGTTCACAGAGGAAGAATTAGATTCTTCTCTTTAGATGTGAATTAAATTGTTCACAGAGGAAGAATTAGATTCTCCTCTTTAGATGTGAATTGAAGTGATCACAGAGGAAGAATTAGATTCTCCTCTTTAGATGTGAATTAAATTGTTCACAGAGGAAGAATTAGATTCTACTGTCCTCTTTAGATGTGAATTGTTCACAGAGGAAGAATTTGATTCTACTGTCCTCTTTAGATGTGAATTAAAGTGTTCACAGAGGAAAAATTAGATTCTACTGTCCTCTTTAGATGTGAATTAAAGTGTTCACAGAGGAAGAATTAGATTCTACTGTCCTCTTTAAATGTGAATTAAAGTGTTCACAGAGGAAGAATTAGATTCTCCTCTTTAGATGTGAATTAAAGTGTTCACAGAGGAAGAATTAGATTCTCCTCTTTAGATGTGAATTAAAGTGTTCACAGAGGAAGAATTAGATTCTCCTCTTTAGATGTGAATTAAAGTGTTCACAGAGGAAGAATTAGATTCTCCTCTTTAGATGTGAATTAAAGTGTTCACAGAGGAAGAATTAGATTCTACTGTCCTCTTTAGTTGGGAATTAAAGTGTTCACAGAGGAAGAATTAGATTCTACTGTCCTCTTTAGATGTGAATTAAAGTGTTCACAGAGGAAGAATTAGATTCTACTGTACTCTTTACATGTGACATAGAGTGCTAACAAACACCTGCAACAATGCTCTCATGCTAGAGAAAACAAACTGTAGCAGATGTTGGCTGCCACTATAAAGTACTAGCTGTACCCGGCCATGTGTTGCTGTGGCCCAGAATGGTAAACTGGAAAAGAAAGAAAATAGAAAGCGCACCTGTCTAATATGGTTAATAGCAGTCATTGCACGCTACAGAGAGTCAGATATGCCAACTCTAGAACACACAACATATCAGTGAATGTTGATATTAGTGGTAGAATAAAGTGCATTGTTAGAGAGAGAAAAAAAGACTATTTGTTTATCGAGGCTAAAGCATCTGGTGTGCTTAAACAGGAAAAAGTAAAGCTGACTGCTATACCTCTAACTGACCAACAAATTGGCTCCCCCCTACAAAAATGAGAATAGCTGAGGAAGCGGTATTAAAATATAAATATGTAAGAAATGAGAACTGAAAAATAAAGTTATAAGCTCTCTAAGCTAACAGTGTCTGTCATAACCCCCCCCACCCCCAATCAAAATGATTTAACAATTATCACGTGGCGACATTGATAAAATAAAAATAGTTAAGAAATGAGAACTTTAAAATAATATTTTAAGCTCTCTCAGTTAACAGTGTCTCAAACCCCCCCCCCCCCCCGACAATCATATCATCCTCTACGAAGCATAAGAAAGTCACTGCCTGACGAAATATTGTTGTTAAATTGAGCTTGTCATCCGTGTCCACCCAGACTAAAATGGGTGGCATTAATCAGTACTGAGAAGTAAATGTGGCCAGTGTAACAGCTACCACATCACCCATCGAGTAACAGTACTACGGCCACCACTACCGCCACCACCGTCACAACAACAACAACAACACAAAACAATCAATATGTATGTACAGGTCGTTGTAGCCAGAGGAGTTGGCGCCACATGCTGTCGCCACGGACTGTTTAGTTTAAGTGTGCCCCCAACATAAAACTCCATCACCTAACCAGTGGTGAAACCCACAGTAATATTCTGTGATTGAAAAAAAAGTACACTATACTCACAAATAGCGGAAATAAAAACCATCACTTGTCATCTTTCCCTCTCCGAAGGGGCGATTTTTAATTAACCTTGGCATCTGTGTCGACCCAAACCAAACTAGACCATAAGCCATCTTAGTTAACAGTTTCAGTCAACGAATAGTTTTTGATCGAGTGAAGCGTTGGGGGGAGGCTAATTTGGACTTTACTGAAATTGGATATCTTTGGGCGTAAGGCGCAGATATCGCAACCTAGCTGTAAACCACAACACAACGTGCCAACTGCATCTTTAGGGGAAAAAAGAACAATTAGCACCCAGCGGGGAATCGAGCACCGGTCATCGCGTGAAGGGCGGAATACTTACAACTCTACTACCGAAGACTTTAGGTCAAATAATGCAGCCTAGCTGTAAACCACAACACAACGTGTCAACCGCCCTCTCAAGGGCGAACAAATATTACCCGGGACATGAACATTGAGCATCACATGGCCGCTATCGCAGGCTAGCTGTATATTCCAAAATCGAGCGGGGGGAAAAAGGCGTATATATTGCAGTCTAGCTATAAACCACAACAAATAGTGGCAGCCACCCAGTTAGGGCACCCTAACCTCACCCTCCCCCCCAAAAAAAATTATATCACCTAGTGGGGAATTGAACGCCTATCGCGTGAATGGCTAAATGCTTACAACTAACTACGCTAACATCTTGTCAAGCATTTAGTAGAAATGAAATTATATAATAATGTGAAGTTCGGTGTTACACACAGACTCAAAGGTGGCCAACAACTAAAAATAAATCTGGGCCGGCAATGAAACCACTAATGAAATGATCGTTCCTGGAGCTACGTCAGCCGTGGTTTGTGCAAAGCTCATACATACAAACACGTGCAGAGTCTAAGGCAACGTTGTGTGAAAATGTGAAAGCGGTCGGTAAAGAAATGTCGGAGATTGATCCTGGGGGAAAAGGCATCTATTGGCAGCCCTGCTTAGCAGTCGAAGGTGGTCAATCAACTAAAAACAAATCCGGGCCAGCAACGAAACAAATATTGATTTGACCGTTTCTGGAGCCACATCGTTCGTGGTTTGTGCGAAAAATCATGCTCTGAGTCAAGGGCAACATTGTGTGAAAATTTGAAAGCAACCAGTTCAGTAGTTTCCGAGTTTAGAGTTAACAAACTCGGAAAATTAACATTTTTATTAATATATAAAGTGTAGATGCAATAAAATGCCACCTAAGATATATGTCCACTAGTTGAGCAGCTGGTCACACAGAGGATGAATTCACAGACTGACTTGGTGATTAAACAAACACATGCAGAAACAAACCAAGTTGGGCAGGTATTTCATGACATTTATTCTCACCTACAGCAACTCTGATACATCGCCCATTTTTGCTTCTGATTGGCTGAGCGGTTGCATAGTCAAACTTCACCAACACTTTTGGCTCTGCTTCCAGTTTATTCTAGGGAGAAAAAAAAATTATGTTACTCTGGCTCCATGATAATATCCAGACATGTCAGTTACTCTGGCTCTATGACAGTATTCAGACATGAATGTTGCTCTGGCTCTGTGACAGTATTCAGACATGACTGTTGCTCTGGCTCTGTGACAGTATTCAGACATGACAGTTACTCTGGCTCTATGACAGTATTCAGACATGACAGTTAATCTAGCTCTATGACAGTATTGAGACATGACAGTTACTCTGGCTCTGTGACAGTATTCAGACATGACAGTTACTCTGGCTCTATGACAGTATCCAGACATGACTGTTACTCTGGCTCTTTGACAGTATTCAGACATGACTGTTACTCTGGTTATATGACAGTATCCAGACATGACTGTTACTCTGGTTTTATGACAGTATCCAGACATGACTGTTACTCTGGTTTTATGACAGTATTCAGACATGGCTGTTACTCTGGCTCTATGACAGTATTCAGACATGACTGTTACTCTGGCTCTGTGACAGTATTCAGACATGGCTGTTACTCTGGCTCTATGACAGTATTCAGACATGACTGTTACTCTGGCTCTGTGACAGTATTCAGACATGGCTGTTACTCTGGCTCTGTGACAGTATTCAGACATGGCTGTTACTCTGGCTCTATGACAGTATTCAGACATGACTGTTACTCTGGCTCTATGACAGTATTCAGACATGACTGTTACTCTGGCTCTGTGACAGTATTCAGACATGACTGTTACTCTGGCTCTATGACAGTATTCAGACATGACTGTTACTCTGGCTCTATGACAGTATTCAAACATGACTGTTACTCTGGCTCAATGACAGTATTCAGACATGACATTTACTTTGGCTCTGTAAGAGTATTCAGAGATTACTTTACTCAAGCTCTATAACAGTATTCAGACATGAAAGAGATGACTTACTCTGGCTCTGTGACAGTGTTCAGACATCATTGTTACATGGGGACTCACCAATACAGGCGACAGTTGCTTGTACTCACCAACAAAGGAGACATCCGCCCGATAGCTCCTGGTCTGTTGGCCAGGTTGAGGGTCAAGGCTGTGCCCTCAGTGGATCCAAAAAACTCTGCAATTTGAGGGATCTGAAAGCGCCTGCTGACCTCCAGCCAGATATCTCGTCTCAGACCATTCCCAAATGCCACGCGAACCTTATGTACAGCATCCAGCTTGTTCTGCAGGTCAAGATGGTTTCATTAGACAATTATTTCTTGATCTCTGTCTGACCCTCAATCTACCTGCTTTCCCACCCACCTACCCAATGACTCGCCCACATACCCAGATATAATGTTTATAATGTAGCAGTTTGATTGTATATCCGTCACCTTAACCCTGAGTGCTGATCATCTACCAGATCCCCTAGTCACTCCTTGCAGTACCATTATCTTCAGACCATGATAATACATTTGGGCTTCTGCACTGTTCATGCACCCCCAAAGGGCCCTTACAACATCTAGCTTGTCATGCATCAGTTCCCCACCAAGCTGTGCAGAACCAATTCATTTCCCAATACACCAGCATACCCTGAGTGAAATATCCAAAGGATGCTAACTACCTGGGACCTCTGAAGTGATGCTTGCCACTCTTTACAGAGCATGCCAGTCTCCACCTTTTTCAACATGCTCTGTTAATATGTTACATAAGTGTAGGCTTGACAACATTGGGTAAGGAGAGGAGTGGGTCAAAATTTCCCAGCAAAAGTTAGACTTGTGTAGGATTCTGATCACACTTGGCTGTTAGTGCAGGGACTGGCCAGCGGGAGGTGAAGAATTAGAAGTTCGATAAATAATTCATGATAATTCTTGCCCAGGGGATGTGATAATCTATACAGATGGCTTTAAATTGACAGGCAGATGAAGTTCATGGGGTTTCTTAGTGAAAGTGAATGGACATATTTTAGTGCAACAAAGCTTGACATCTAGTTTATGAATAGAGGTGGAGGCAGTCACTACAGGGTTTTGCTGGCTTGAGAATCAGCTATACCCAGTGATCTAACCCATCAGATGATCCAGCCAACTATCTAACCCACCCACCTACTTAACTGATCCAGCCAACTATCTAACTTAACCAGTGATCGAGCCAACTATCTAACTTAACCAGTGATCGAGCCAACTATCTAACACACCTACCTAAGCAATGATCCAGCTAACTATCTAACTCACAAACCTACCCAGTGATCCAGCCAACTATCTAACCCACCTAAACAAAAGCAGTGATCCAGCCTTAACCCACAAACCTACCCAGTGATCCAGCTAACTATCTAACCCACCCACCTAAGCAGTGATCCAGCCAACTATCTAACCCACCTAGTGATCCAGCCAACTATTTAACCTACCCACCTAATCAGTGATGCAGCCAACTATTTAACCCACCCACCTAAGCAGTGATCCAGCCAACTATTTAACTCACCCACATAAGCAGTGATCCAGCCAACTATCTAACCTACAAACCACGGGTAGCATAACAAGCGGCCACAAAGAACATGCTTCAGAAATTTATAGCAGGTAGTTCACAGTCTGAATGGGTAGACAGCATTTAAAAACCACAGCTAACCTCCCTCATCTGGATCTACACATTTGGGGATGCAGGAGTAAAAGAAATGGAAAAGAGTTGACCAGTTGGCAGGTAAGGCACCAAAGCTAACAGGAAGAAGCATGGATAAAGCTGATATCATCATTGCTGTACGGACTACATTGCGGGATAATGATGAATTACTGACGCTAACATGATTGCATGACATAGAAGTAAACTTTGATGAAGCACATCTATGCTGTCTTTGAGGTAAAGACAGGAGACACTATAACAAACTCCTCATGTAAAGAATCAATGTAAACAATCAACAGAACTGGGTAAAGCTGGGGCGACCATCCCCAACCCAGCGCGTCCACTGGTGGCGGATTATGGAACGGTCTCTAGATATAGACGTTAGCTGTGAATACCCAATAAGCAGCCGCAGACCAACTGGCGGTGGGCACAGAGGGTGAGGTGGGATTTCAGGGTGGGATCTGAAATCCTTATAAAATATCTCATATACTCGGAGACATGCCTGCCAAGCAGATCGGGCGCCATAACCCATTTCCCCGGGTAGGTGGTAACCTGTTAGCTTTGGACAGCAGCCCATCTAGGAGACGGCAAATTCCAAATAAAAATCTTGGGTGTTCATAGTGGACCAACGTGCTGAGGAATTGGTTGGCCACGGGTGAGCTGGTCGTGAACGCTGGATGTCTGGCAGGCGTGTGGGGCGGCACCAGGCATATGGATTCCTACGGGACATAATTGCCTCTTCCCTAGCAAGCAGGCAATACTAGGGTGACCGGTCATTTCCTGCAGTACATTTTTTAAAATCACATATGGATTTTAAAATTATACATAGGAATCATCGCCGGCGCTAAGGAGCACGTGCTTTGGGCATGACACATTTTTCAGCAGTTAGCGAAGAGAGAGTGAGCAGGAGACGACGAGGGAAGAGAAGAAGGCATTTAATAGAAGAGCAGGTGATAGGAAAACAAGAGGAAAAGTGGAGAGATTGGGCTTCAATCATGTAAGAGTAGGATACTGGAACTGTCGGAGTGCTAGGCAAAGAGGTCCTGTACTTTAGAGGTAATTTTTTATTTCGATGTCATCATGCTCCAGGAGCAAAATACAGACATATATCATTGCTCTGGTATGTCAGTTATATAAACCCTGTTGGACAGGAGAGACATGGACAAGGTCTAGTGGTGAAGGAGGGAGTGAAGCATGTGGTGCTTGACGAGCCAGTGGAACCACAATAGACAAGAGGTTCAAGGGAAACAAGTAGAGATAAATGTATATGCTATGTTAGACTGTTTTGTCAGAAGAGAACAATGGGGCTGGCTCAAGGAATTGGAGGAGTTACCAGGTGATAGGTTACTCATATGTGGGGATTTCAAAGTGAGGAACAGAGAATAGGACAGCAGCGGAGAAAACCGACAGGAAATTGCTCTTGCAGAGGCTATAATGGGAGATCGACTAGAACGGCAATGAGGTCTGGCATTGCAGACACAGCCATTGACTTGACTTTTGTCTCCCAGTCATCAGTTTTAGATGTTGAATGGACTGTCCTGAATGACCATGGGAGTGATCACCTACCATGTTCAGTCCTGATTTCTAAACCCAGTAATGTTAAAGCTGGAAGAGCACGCAAGACCTTCCAGTATAAGTGGACTAACAACCTACTTGGACACCTCAGACAGGGAGCATACAACAGAACTGTCATAACTAATTTTCTACAGCCCCCATGATGGACTCCAGAAGTAGAACAGGCGTGGAAGGCAAAGAGAGCCACAGTGAAGCAGCTAAAGAAAGTACGACAGACACCCTCAAGAGAGGAAGTGGAGATGGAGGGTAATGTGAAAAAAAGATAAGGTGGAGATTTTCAAGCGCTGTGCTGCAGAGGCCAAAAGAGCAAAGTGGAAAACTTTTGAGAATGATATGGGAGGCAATAAAACATTGGGGAAATTCTGGAAACTGCAAAGGCAGATGTAAAGAAAAGATCGGACTATGACAGTGGAAACAATTTGTAGAGATGATGGTGTGCGTATGACAACATACAAGGAGAAGGTGGGAAGGGGATTTTTTCCATAGGTTTATAGCTCAGACAGATCATAATGATGTAGACATGAGGGATGCAGTTAGAAAGGAGTTAGCTGGCACCTTGAAGAGCATGCATTATGAAGACATGATTCAAGTGGAAGATATCAAACAAATTTTGAAAAAAGCAAAAGACCCTGCACCAGGGCCTGATGGGGTCAGGTATGGTCACATGAAGGCTTTGAGCGATGTAGACCTGGCAGAGATGGCCGACTGTTTTAACCAGAGCATTAAGACAGCATCATTACCGCAGGACTGGGTGCACAGCTATCTAATCCCACTACCAAAGGATCATTCTAAGGATCATTCTAAGCTCAGTAGCTTTAGAATCATCACCTTACAAAACACATTTTGGAAGGTCTTGGAGAAGATAGTTGCTGTAAAGCTGCAAGAATTTTTGGAAAGGGGAAGCTTCTCCCAAGATGTCTGGGAAGCTACAGGCCAGGAAAGGACTCATGGGCAAATGCCGCCACTTTTGCTTTTGACATTCATAAAGGGTTCCAGAACAGACAGGAAACTATGGCGGTAGCACTGGATCTTGAGGATGCTTATAACAGAGTGATGACTGCATTAAAAGGAGAAGGAGGTCAGTCCATGGCTGGTGAATTGGGTTGCAGCTGTCCTGTATTCACGTCGGGTTGCTCTCCGACTGGGCTCATGGACCTCAAAACCATGCAGTTTAGCCCCAGGACTGCCATAGGGATCTGCCATCTCGCCTGTGCTCTTTAACATGTATACGAGCAAGATTGCAAGCCTAGAAGCATCATGAGTTGGAAGGATACTGACTTTTGCGAATGATATACTTGCATATAGGCAGGGGGAAGACAGGGATCAAACAGCCTGGGAGCTACAAACGACAGTAAACAAAGTGACTGAGTGGTGTGCAGAAATGAGGGCTGTTGTCCACGCGGAAAAGGTGTCTGTTTTGTGGTGTTCTCTAGACAATAGGGTCATTAAAGCTAATGTCCCAAGTCTTACGATAGATGGTAGAGACGTCAACAGAGAGAGCAAACTGTGGTATCTGGGAATTACATTTGACAGGAGCCTGTCATTCAAGGACCATGTGGAGAGTGTTGTGATGAGATGCCAAAAAGGACTAAGTGCACTTGAGACTATGGCTGCAATTGACATAGAGCAGAGAATGCTTTTCACACTATATCAGCACCTAATCCTGTCAGTGGTTGATTATGACCTGGGACTGCTTACCGTCTCAAAGAGTCAGATGGACAAACTAGAGCGCATACAGAACGCAGCGATGCGGATCATTCTGGGTTGCACCAGAGACACCCCAGTGGTGTGTATGCAATACATCCTTGGTGTGCCGACAGTTGCAGGTGGGCACAAAGTGCTGCAGGCGAAGTTATATCTCAGGGTAGCTGCAGACACAGACCACTCTTAGCACGAAGCTCTGGGTGCAGTTAAGGCTCAGCGGCTAATAAGAGGGAGGTCATGGATGGCTCAGGCAGAAGACACAATCAGACAGGTTTGCATCCTTGAGAACATTAGGTGAGAGAAGAGTAGGTCAAACTGCCACCTGAACAGACTTGTGTAGAGTCATAATCACGCTGAGCCAGGAATGCAGAGACTGGCCAGCAGGTGCCACAGAGGTGGAAATACAGCAATTAATTCAAAATAATGCTGGCTCAGAGGATTTGATCATTTACACAGACGGTTCAGTGTCAAGAGGCAAAAGAAGTGCTTGGGGTTTCTTAGCAAAAGTTAATGGTCGACGTTTGGTGCAGGAGAGCCTAGCATATGATACCACAACATTCAGCTTAAGAATGGAGGTGGAGGCGGTCACTGAAGCGTTCCACCGGTTAGAGAACACAACACACACACATCGTGATTGTAACTGACTCAGAAAGCATGCTGAGGAAGATCAGGACAGGCATGCTTCATGCAGAGTGGCATGCCTCGCTGCGGAGGACACGGGTGAGGAGTATTGTCTAGATTTTTTCACCAGGTCATGCCGGTGTGTTGGGAAATGAACATGCGGACAGACTGGCTGGTTCTGTACAACTTGGTGGAATACTGATACATGATAGGGCAGATGTGGTTAGTGCCTTGTGGGAAAGTGTGTTCAGTTCGGAGGAGCAGATAGATCACCATAGTCTGGTGAGATTGATACAGGGGGAAGTGACGAGAGGTTCTGGCAGATGCTTGAGGCTCAGAGGAAAGGCAAGACGGATGTTTAATCAGAATGCTATTGGCACCATTAGTATCAGAACTCTTCGCTGGCTTCTGAGGATGGGGACGGATTGCTTATGGAAATGCCCCAAGTGCTGTGATGTCTGTTCTTGAATCAAATCAAATTAAATCAATCAATCAACAGAAGTACTTTGGAGTGGCTGCTGCATCGGAGAACTAAGCCGACATCGGTCTGCCTAATGTGCAAAGATGTCAATTGTGATATCATGTAACATATTAAACTATCAAACCAACCAACCTACCTACTGATTTAGCCAACTAACCCTCATATCTACCCACTGATCTAGCCAACTATCTAACACATCCATCTACCCACTGATCTAGTCAACTATCTAACACATCCATCTACCCACTGATCTAGCCAACTATCTAACACATCCATCTACCCACTGATCTAGTCAACTATCTAACACATCCATCTACCCACTGATCTAGCCAACTATCTAACACATCCATCTACCCACTGATCTAGCCAACTATCTAACACATCCATCTACCCACTGATCAAGCCAACTATCTAACACATCCATCTACCCACTGATCTAGCCAACTATCTAACCCACCCATCTACCCATTGATCTAGTCAACTATCTAACCCACCCATCTACCCACTGATCTAGTCAACTATCTAACACATCCATCTACCCACTGATCTAGTCAACTATCTAACACATCCATCTACCCACTGATCTAGTCAACTATCTAACACATCCATCTACCCACTGATCTAGCCAACTATCTAACACATCCATCTACCCACTGATCTAGCCAACTATCTAACACATCCATCTACCCACTGATCTAGCCAACTATCTAACACATCCATCTACCCACTGATCAAGCCAACTATCTAACACATCCATCTACCCACTGATCTAGCCAACTATCTAACCCACCCATCTACCCATTGATCTAGCCAACTATCTAACCCACCCATCTACCCATTGATCTAGCCAACTATCTAACACACACCATCTACCCACTGATCTAGCCAACTATCTAACACATCCATCTACCCACTGATCTAGTCAACTATCTAACACATCCATCTACCCACTGATCAAGCCAACTATCTAACACATCCATCTACCCACTGATCTAGCCAACTATCTAACCCACCCATCTACCCACTGATCTAGCCAACTATCTAACCCACCCATCTACCCACTGATCTAGCCAACTATCTAACACACCCATCTACCCACTGATCTAGCCAACTGACCCCCTCCCGCCCTCCACCCAAATCCCAATTTAACTATGGCAGCTACCGACCCCTCAACCGTCCCAGCCACTGCTACATCTCCTCCCAGGTGGTGGGAGTACCCTGTTTGTTTGGGAAACACTAATCTAGCTGGTGATATCATATTGAGAATACCGGTGGTTGTGAAATGAGGTATCGAAACAGCTCCCCAATGTACTGTATCACTGTTTGTTTGGGAAACACTAATCTAGCTGGTGACATCATATTGAGAATACCGGTGGTTGTGAAATGAGGTATCGAAACAGCTCCCCAATGTACTGTATCACTGTTTGTTTGGGAAACACTAATCTAGCTGGTGACATCATATTGAGAATACCGGTGGTTGTGAAATGAGGTATCGAAACAGCTCCCCAATGTACTGTATCACTGTGGCACCATGCTGTCTGCAGTCTGACCAAAAGTGGCTTGCAGAGAACTTCTGTCTCAGTATAATCCTGGCTCCTGTCAGAGATAAGACAAAACAAGCATCAGATGGCTCACCACTGAGATAGTCTTCTCAACTGTTGCCATCAACATGGTCTCCTCAAATGTCATCATCAATGGTCACTTATCATCAACACTGCCTCCGCAACTATCACTATCAACAATGTCTACTCAACTGTCACTGCCAACAATGCCTCCTTAACTTACACCACCAACAATGCCTCCTTAACTTACACCACCAACAATGCCTCCTTAACTTACATCACCTACAATGCCTCCTTAACTTACATCACCAACAATGCCTCCTTAACTTACATCACCAACAATGCCTCCTTAACTTACATCACTAACAATGTCTTCTTAACTTACACCACCTATAATGCCTCCTTAACTTACATCACCAACAATGCCTCCTTAACTTACATCACCTACAATGCCTCCTTAACTTACATCACCAACAATGCCTCCTTAACTTACACCACCTACAATGCCTCCTTAACTTACACCACCAACAATGCCTCCTTAACTTACATCACTAACAATGCCTCCTTAACTTACACCACCAACAATGCCTCCTTAACTTACATCACAAACAATACCTCCTTAGCTTACACCACCAACAATGCCTCCTTAACTTACACCACCAACAATGCCTCCTTAACTTACATCACTAACAATGTCTTCTTAACTTACACCACCAACAATGCCTCCCTAACTTACACCACCAACAATGCCTCCTTAACTTACACCACCAACAATGCCTCCTTAACTTACATCACTAACAATGCCTCCTTAACTTACACCACCAACAATGCCTCCTTAACTTACATCACCAACAATACCTCCTTAGCTTACACCACCAACAATGCCTCCTTAACTTACACCACCAACAATGCCTCCTTAACTTACATCACTAACAATGTCTTCTTAACTTACACCACCAACAATGCCTCCCTAACTTACACCACCAACAATGCCTCCTTAACTTACATCACTAACAATGCCTCCTTAACTTACACCACCAACAATGCCTCATCAAATTACACCACCAACAATGCCTCCTTAACTTACATCACCAACAATGCCTCCTTAACTTACACCACCTACAATGCCTCCTTAACTTACACCACCTACAATGCCTCCTTAACTTACATCACCTACAATGCCTCCTTAACTTACATCACCTACAATGCCTCCTTAACTTACATCACTAACAATGCCTCCTTAACTTACATCACAAACAATGCCTCCTTAACTTACATCACTAACAATGCCTCCTTAACTTTCACCACCCACTATGCCTCCTTAACTTACACCACCTACAATGCCTCCTTAACTTACATCACTAACAATGCCTCCTTAACTTACACCACCAACAATGCCTCTTTAACTTACATCACCAACAATGCCTCCTTAACTTACACCACCTACAATGCCTCCTTAACTTACACCACCTACAATGCCTCCTTAACTTACACCACCTACAATGCCTCCTTAACTTACACCATCTACAATGCCTCCTTAACTTACATCACCAACAATGCCTCCTTAACTTACACCACCTACAATGCCTCCTTAACTTACACCACCTACAATGCCTCCTTAACTTACATCACCTACAATGCCTCCTTAACTTACATCACCTACAATGCCTCCTTAACTTACATCACTAACAATGCCTCCTTAACTTACATCACCTACAATGCCTCCTTAACTTACACCACGTACAATGCCTCCTTAACTTACACCACCTACAATGCCTCCTTAACTTACATCACTAACAATGCCTTCTTAACTTACACCACCTACAATGCCTCCTTAACTTACATCACTAACAATGCCTCCTTAACTTACACCACCTACAATGCCTCCTTAACTTACACCACCAACAATGCCTTCTTAACTTACACCATCTACAATGCCTCCTTAACTTACACCACCCACAATGCCTCCTTAACTTACATCACTAACAATGCCTCCTTAACTTACATCACCTACAATGCCTCCTTAACTTACATCACTAACAATGCCTCCTTAACTTACATCACCTACAATGCCTCCTTAACTTACACCACCTACAATGCCTTCTTAACTTACACCACCAACAATGCCTCCTTAACTTACACCACCAACAATGCCTCCTTAACTTACACCACCAACAATGCCTCCTTAACTTACACCACCTACAATGCCTCCTTAACTTACACCACCTACAATGCCTCCTTAACTTACACCATCTACAATGCCTCCTTAACTTACACCACCTACAATGCCTCATCAAATTACACCACCTACAATGCCTCCTTAACTTACACCACCTACAATGCCTCCTTAACTTACACCACCTACAATGCCTCCTTAACTTACATCACCTACAATGCCTCCTTAACTTACACCACCTACAATGCCTCCTTAACTTACACCATCTACAATGCCTCCTTAACTTACACCACCTACAATGCCTCATCAAATTACACCACCTACAATGCCTCCTTAACTTACATCACCAACAATGTCTTCTTAACTTACACCATCTACAATGCCTCCTTAACTTACACCACCTACAATGCCTCATCAAATTACACCACCTACAATGCCTCATCAAATTACACCACCTACAATGCCTCATCAAATTACACCACCTACAATGCCTCCTTAACTTACACCACCTACAATGCCTCATCAGCTTACACCACCAACAATGTCTCCTCAATTGTCACCATCAATAATGTCTACTCAACTGTCACAACCAACCATGATTACACAACAATGATTACACAACAATTATTAAAGAACAGTAATCTCACAACAATGATTACACAACAGTTATCACACAACAATGATCATGTGACAAAGCTAGTTTTAGACTATATGTAGCTGTAATTACATGTGCCCATGCTCCAGCTGAAGCTTTCATGGAAAAGTATAACGCAGAGAGAATTGAATCCACCCCTAACAACTAGCTACAGAGTATGCTGATAAAAGCCACTAAGAAATAACAAACTAGTTGTGCGGTAATTGCTTGCCGAGATATTTCTTCTTCAGCCAGAGATTTCTAGTTAAATTGTACGACAAAATAGTTAGATATTATTTTAGCCCCACAGAAGGTCAATTATGCAGGTACAAGACAAGATTTGAATTATAAGACATTGAGGCCAATTAGTTCACAGTCAAACAAAAAAACATCTGCGGCAGACAGATTGTCTTTTGCCAGCAAAACGATCTCCAGGGCATAAATAAACTATTCATAGTAAAAATTAGTTTAAACATTCTCAGCCAGCCAGGAAATGTCTCCTGTGGTGAAATGGTTTACAAAACTTGATAGTTACCTATTGTTTAAGTTGAGTGCAATAAACAGTAAGATTATGTGTCAGTTTTTCCAGACGTCATCAATTATAGAATCTCATTTGACTTTGGAATTCAGGTTGATAAAATACGGATTGACTACGATACAGGACTAACAACTCCCAAGGTTGTCTCAGTTGACATAATGACGCTGTAACAAGGGAGAAACTATTGAATGACTTGGACAAGTTACAGAGGGACAGTTTGGAGAAAACCTGTCAGTGGTGTTACTGGGAAGCTGCACTGAGGCAAGTCACATGGCCCCGGGCAGACAAGACTGACAGAAAGATGTTACTGGGAAGCTGCACTGAGGCAAGTCACATGGCCCCGGGCAGACAAGACTGACAGAAAGATGTAAATGAACTATGGTAATGTGATGAGGGACAAGTGAAAGAAACTTTGAGGAAATCAAGAAATATAAGCAAAACAGACCAACCCTGGCCTCAGCCATGTAATCATAATGGAACAGACCACATGACATTTTCTTTCTAGATGTATATTTCAATCGTACAAGTAGAAAAAAATAATTTTTGCTTATAAAGTCCTACTGGGCTGAAGTGTATAAGTTCTTTCTAGATGTATATTTCAATCGTACAAGTAGAAAAAAATAATTTTTGCTTATAAAGTCCTGCTGGGCTGAAGTGTATAAGCTGTTGTAATTTTAGGCACCAAAAATGTTGGTTGCCAGATTTTAGTAATTTTGACTTGTGAGCAATAGTTAAGTTGCCTAGTGATTCAAGGGACTCCCAAATGTAGTAATGAGATTTCTTATATTATACCTCATACTACATGTGTGCAAATATATTCCTGCTTTGCAAAAACATAAAAGATAGTTAAACAAGAAACATTGCTAAGCAATTGCATAGCACGACTCAGGGCAATCCGCGTGACAGGTCAAACCTGCTATCACACAGGCAGACACTGTCACAATCACACAACAATGATTACACAATGATCCCACAACAATTTCACAACAATGATTACACAACAGTAATCTGACAACAATGATTACACAACAGTTATCACACAACAATGAACACACAATAATTATCACTCAACAATGATCATACACCAATTATTACACAATGATCACACAACAGTGACCTTCACACAAAAGTAATCTCACAGTAATGATTACACAACAATGATTATATATTGATCACACAAAAATGTTCTCATCACAATGATTACACAATAGTTATCACACACAAATGTCACTGACCTGTGTCGAGAGCACCAAAGAAGCCAATACCTCCACCGGAGCTGTGATACAAAGGCAGCACTAAATAGATTGTGTCTGAGCTGGACAGGCCCACTGAAACCATGCAACAGCCTAATGAGATAGCCTTGTGGTGGCTAATGATTGATGGCTTGGGATTACCTGCAAAACAATCACATACAAAGTCAACTTGGGCAGAGATGTCAACTGGAAATTCTGGTGAGTACAGACTACAGACTTCAAGTCAACTGTGTGGTGACAGATTCCAAAGGAAATTTGTGTGAGTACAGACTAAAGACTTCAAGTCAACTGTGTGGTGACAGATACCAAAGGAAATTTGTGTGAGTACAGACTACAGACTTCAAGTCTACTGTGTGGTGACAGATACCATAAAAAATTTATGTGAGTACAGACTACAGACTTCAAGTCAACTGTGTGGTGACAGATACCATAGAAAATTTATTTGAGTACAGACTACAGACTTCTAGTCAACTGTGTGGTGACAGATACCATAGAAAATTTATTTGAGTACAGACTACAGACTTCTAGTCAACTGTGCTGAGACAGACATTACTAGAAATTCTGCGATATATTCTATAACATGTTCTATACATGTAAGAGTGTAATATCTTGTTGTAGAGGTGAACTGTAACAGCTTGTTATATAACTATAGTGGTGAACTGTGACACCTTATTATACACATGTAGTGGTGAACTGTGACACCTTATTATACACATGTAGTGGTAAATTGCAACACCTTGTTATACACATACAGTGGTGAACTGTAACATTTTGTTATACACATAAAGTGGTAACTGTAACACCTTGTTATACACATACAGTGGTGAACTGTAACATCTTGTTATACACATACAGTGGTGAACTGTAACATCTTGTTATAAACATACAGTGGTGAACTGTAACATCTTGTTATACACATGTAGTCGTGAACTGTAACACATTGTTATACACACACACAGTGGTGAACTGTAACACCTTGTTATACATACGTAGTGGTGAACTGTAACATCTTGTTATACACATACAGTGGTGAACTGTAACATCTTGTTATACACATACAGTGATGAACTGTAACACCTTGTTATACACATACAGTGGTGAACTGTAACACCTTGTTATACACATACAGTGATGAACTGTAACACCTTGTTATACACATACAGTGGTGAACTGTAACACCTTGTTATACATACGTAGTGGTGAACTGTAACACCTTGTTATACACATACAGTGGTGAACTGTAACACCTTGTTATACACATACAGTGATGAACTGTAATACCTTGTTACATGTAGTGGTGAACTGTAACACCTTGTTATACACATGTAGTGGTGAAATGTCACGCCTTGATATACACATACAGTGGTAAACTGTACCATCTTGTTATACACATGTAGTGGTGAACTGTAACACATTGTTATACACACACACAGTGGTGAACTGTAACACCTTGTTATACATACGTAGTGGTAAACTGTAACACCTTGTTATACATACGTAGTGGTGAACTGTAACACCTTGTTATACATACGTAGTGGTGAACTGTAACACGTTGTTATACACACACAGTGGTGAACTGTAACACCTTGTTATACACACACAGTGGTGAACTGTAACACATTGTTATACACACACAGTGGTGAACTGTAACACGTTGTTATACACACACAGTGGTGAACTGTAACACATTGTTATACACACACAGTGGTGAACTGTAACACGTTGTTATACACACACAGTGGTGAACTGTAACACCTTGTTATACACACACAGTGGTGAACTGTAACACATTGTTATACACTCACACAGTGGTGAACTGTAACACCTTGTTATACATACGTAGTGGTGAACTGTAACACCTTGTTATACATACGTAGTGGTGAACTGTAACACCTTGTTATACACATGTAGTGGTAAACTGTAACACATTGTTATACACACACACAGTAGTGAACTGTAACATCTTGTTATACACATGTAGCGGTGAACTGTAACATCTTGTTAAACACATGTAGTGGTGAACTGTGGTGAACTTATATGCATGTTGCTATATACATGTAGTCATAAGTTGCGACTTTTTGTTATATACATGTAGTTATATGTTGCGACTTCTTGTTATATACATATAGTCATAAGCCGGGACTTCTTGTTATATACTTGTAGTCATAAGTTGCGACTTCTTGTTATATACATGTAGTCATAAGTTGCGACTTTTTGTTATATACATGTAGTCATAAGTTGCGACTTCTTGTTATATACATGTAGTCAGATGTTGCGACTTCTTGTTATATACATGTAGTCATATTTTGCGACTTCTTGTTATATACATGTAGTCATATGTTGCGACTTCTTGTTATATACATGTAGTCATTTATTGCGATTTCTTGTTATATACATGCAGTCATATGTTGCGACTTCTTGTTACATACATGTAGTCATAAGCTGGGACATCTTATTATATACATGTAGTCATAAGCTGCGACACCTTGTTATATACATGTAGTCATAAGCTGGGACATCTTATTATATACATGTAGTCATAAGCTGCGACATCTTGTTATATACATGTAGTCATAAGCTGGGACATCTTATTATATACATGTAGTCATAAGCTGCGACATCTTGTTATATACATGTAGTCATAAGCTGGGACATCTTGTTATATACATGTAGTCATAAGCTTGGACTTCTTGTTATATACATGTAGTCATATGTTGCGACTTCTTGTTATATACATGTAGTTATATGTTACGACATCTTGTTATATACATGTAGTCAGATGTTGCGACTTCTTGTTATATACATGTAGTCATATTTTGCGACTTCTTGTTATATACATGTAGTCATATGTTGCGACTTCTTGTTATATACATGTAGTCATTTATTGCGATTTCTTGTTATATACATGCAGTCATATGTTGCGACTTCTTGTTATATACATGTAGTCATTTATTGCGATTTCTTGTTATATACATGTAGTCATATGTTGCGACTTCTTGTTATATACATGTAGTCATAAGCTGCGACTTGTTGTTATATACATGTAGTCATATGTTGCGACTTCTTGTTATATACATGTAGTCAAATGTTGTGATTTCTTGTTATATACATGTAGTCATATGTTGTGACTTCTTGTTATATACATGTAGTCATATGTTGTGACTTCTTGTTATATACATGTAGTCATATGTTGCGACTTCTTGTTATATACATGTAGTCATATGTTGCGACTTCTTGTTATATACATGTAGTGGTAAACTGTAATATCTTGCTATATACATGTAGTGGTAAACTGTAATATCTTGCTATACACATGTAGTGGTAAACTGTAACATTTTGCTATACATATGTAGTGGTAAACTGTAACATCTTGCTATACACATGTAGTAGTAAACTGTAATATCTTGTTATACACATGTAGTGGTAAACTGTAATATCTTGTTATACACATGTAGTGGTAAACTGTAACATCTTGCTATTTACATGTAGTCATATGTTGCGACTTCTTGTTTTACATATACATGTAGTGGTAAACTGTAATATCTTGCTATATACATGTAGTGGTAAACTGTAATATCTTGCTATACACATGTAGTGGTAAACTGTAACATTTTGCTATACATATGTAGTGGTAAACTGTAACATCTTGCTATACACATGTAGTAGTAAACTGTAATATCTTGTTATACACATGTAGTGGTAAACTGTAACATCTTGTTATATACATGTAGTGGTAAACTGTAACATCTTGCTATACACATGTAGTAGTAAACTGTAACATCTTGCTATACACATGCAGTGGTAAATTGTAACATCTTGCTATACACATGTAGTGGTAAACTGTAACATCTTGCTATACACATGCAGTGGTAAACTGTAACATCTTGCTTTACACATGCAGTGGTAAACTGTAACATCTTGCTATACACATGTAGTGGTAAATTGTAACATCTTGCTATACACATGTAGTAGTAAACTGTAACATCTTGCTATACACATGCAGTGGTAAATTGTAACATCTTGCTATACACATGTAGTGGTAAACTGTAACATCATGCTATACACATGCAGTGGTAAACTGTAACATCTTGCTTTACACGTGTAGTGGTAAACTGTAATATCTTGTTATACACATGTAGTGGTAAACTGTAACATCTTGTTATACACATGTAGTGGTAAACTGTAACATCTTGCTATACACATGTAGTGGTAAACTGTAATATCTTGTTATACACATGTAGTGGTAAACTGTAACATCTTGCTATTTACATGTAGTCATATGTTGCGACTTTTTGTTTTACACTTGTAGTGGTAAACTGTAACATCTTGTTATATACATGTAGTGGTAAACTGTAACATCTTGCTATACACATGTAGTGGTAAACTGTAACATCTTGCTATACACATGTAGTGGTAAACTGTAACATCTTGCTATACACATGTAGTGGTAAACTGTAACATCTTGCTATACACATGCAGTGGTAAATTGTAACATCTTGCTATACACATGTAGTGGTAAACTGTAACATCTTGCTATACACATGTAGTGGTAAACTGTAACATCTTGCTATACACATGTAGTGGTAAACTGTAACATCTTGCTATACACATGCAGTGGTAAACTGTAACATCTTGCTTTACACATGTAGTGGTAAACTGTAATATCTTGTTATACACATGTAGTGGTAAACTGTAACATCTTGTTATACACATGTAGTGGTAAACTGTAACATCTTGCTATACACATGTAGTGGTAAACTGTAACATCTTGTTATACACATGTAGTGGTTAACGGTAACATCTTGTTATACACATGTAGTGGTAAACTGTAACATCTTGCTACACACATGTAGTGGTAAACTGTAACATCTTGTTATACACATGTAGTGGTAAACTGTAACATCTTGTTATACACATGTAGTGGTAAACTGTAACATCTTGCTATACACATGTAGTGGTAAACTGTAACATCTTGTTATACACATGTAGTGGTAAACTGTAACATCTTGTTATACACATGTAATGGTAAACTGTAACATCTTGTTATACACATGTAGTGGTTAACTGTAACATCTTGTTATACACATGTAGTGGTAAACTGTAACATCTTGTTATACACATGTAGTGGTAAACTGTAACATCTTGTTATACACATGTAGTGGTAAACTGTAACATCTTGTTATACACATGTAATGGTAAACTGTAACATCTTGTTATACACATGTAGTGGTTAACTGTAACATCTTGTTATACACATGTAGTGGTAAACTGTAACATCTTGTTATACACATGTAGTGGTAAACTGTAACATCTTGTTATACACATGTAGTGGTAAACTGTAACATCTTGTTATACACATGTAGTGGTAAACTGTAACATCTTGCTATACACATGTAGTGGTAAACTGTAACATCTTGCTATACACATGTAGTGGTAAGCTGTAACATCTTGTTATACACATGTAATGGTAAACTGTAATATCTTGTTATACACATGTAGTGGTAAACTGTAACATCTTGTTATACACATGTAGTGGTAAACTGTAATATCTTGTTATACACATGTAGTGGTAAACTGTAACATCTTGTTATACACATGTAGTGGTAAACTGTAACATCTTGTTATACACATGTAGTGGTAAACTGTAACCTCTTGCTATACACATGTAGTGGTAAACTTAACATCTTGCTATACACATGTAGTGGTAAACTGTAACATCTTGCTATACACATGTAGTGGTAAACTGTAACATCTTGCTATACACATGTAGTGGTAAACTGTAACATCTTGTTATACACATGTAGTGGTAAACTGTAACATCTTGCTATACACATGTAGTGGTAAACTGTAACATCTTGTTATACACTTGTAGTGGTAAACTGTAACATCTTGTTATACACATGTAGTGGTAAAATGTAATATCTTGCTATACACATGTAGTGGTAAACTGTAACATCTTGCTATACACATGTAGTGGTAAACTGTAACATCTTGTTATACACATGTAGTGGTAAACTGTAACATCTTGTTATACACATGTAGTGGTAAACTGTAATATCTTGCTATACACATGTAATGGTAAACTGTAATATCTTGTTATACACATGTAGTGGTAAACTGTAACATCTTGTTATACACATGTAGTGGTAAACTGTAACATCTTGTTATACACATGTAGTGGTAAACTGTAACATCTTGTTATACACATGTAGTGGTAAACTGTAATATCTTGCTATACACATGTAGTGGTAAACTGTAACATCTTGCTATACACATGGATATAAAGGATAAGGATATAAATCTCCATAGATATGATGTAAGGATATAAATGTCCACAGATATGATGTAAGGATATAAATGTCCACAGATATGATGTAAGGATATAAATCTCCACAGAATTGATGTAAGGATATAAATGTCCACAGATATGATGTAAGGATATAAATCTCCATAGATATGATGTAAGGATATAAATCTCCACAGATATGATGTAAGGATATAAATCTCCACAGATATGATGTAAGGATATAAATCTCCACAGATATGATGTAAGTATATAAATCTCCATAGATATGATGTAAGGATATAAATCTCCACAGATATGATGTAAGGATATAAATGTCCATAGATATGATGTAAGGATATAAATCTCCACAGATATGATGTAAGGATATAAATCTCCATAGATATGATGTAAGGATATAAATGTCCACAGATATGATGTAAGGATATAAATGTCCATAGGTTTGATGTAAGGATATAAATGTCCATAGGTTTGATGTAAGGATATAAATGTCCATAGGTTTGATGTAAGGATATAAATGTCCATAGGTTTGATGTAAGGATATAAATGTCCATAGGTTTGATGTAAGGATATAAATGTCCATAGATATGATGTAAGGATATAAATCTCCACAGATATGATATAAGGATTTAAATCTCCACAGATATGATGTAAGGATATAAATGTCCATAGATATGATGTAAGGATATAAATGTCCATAGGTCTGATGTAAGGATATAAATGTCCATAGATATGATGTAAGGATATAAATGTCCACAGATATGATGTAAGGATATAAATGTCCATAGGTTTGATGTAAGGATGTAAATGTCCATAGGTTTGATGTAAGGATATAAATGTCCATAGGTGTGATGTAAGGATATAAATGTCCATAGGTTTGATGTAAGGATATAATAAATACCCAAAGATACGTTGCAGGGCTATAAATGTCAATAGATATAATACATGGATATAAATGTCAATATATATAATAGATAAAGAAATTTAAAATGTCACAAACTTTGAATATCTAGATCAAAATTAGAATTTTGAGAGCTTGCATCTTTCCTTTTTCTCAGTCCTTAAGAAAGAGAATAGGGGCTTTTGAGCTGAAATGCTATAGAAAGATTCTCAGAATATCTTGGACAAAGAAGAGGAGAAATACTGACATTTTGAAAGATCTGAACATAAGGGAAGATTGGCTAATAAACAGCATCCTGTCTCAGAAGCTGAAATATTTTGGTCATATCAAGCGCCACGACGGATTGGAAAAAATTATAGCAGAAGGCATGGTACCAGGAAAGAGGGACAGGGGCTGACCGAAACAAAGATGGGCACAGGATATAAGTGACTCCTTGAGTATGAAAGTACATGAAGCGGGAGAACTGATGAGAGACCATGTTTCCTTCAGGCAGACCGTGATGAGAGCGACGTTCTGCAAAGGACCTGCTACATGATGATGATGATATGATAGAGGGATATAAATGTCAATAGATATAATAGAGGGATATAAATGTCCATAGATATAATGCAGGGATTTAAATGTTAATAGACATAATACAGGGATATAAATGTCTAAAGACATAATACAGGGATATAAATGTCCATAGATATAACACAGGGATGTAAATGTTCATAAATATAACACAGGGATGTAAATGTCCATAGATGTACTACAGGGATTTCAATGTCCATAGATATAATACAGGTATATAAATGTTAACTGATTTAATACAGGGATATAAATGTCAACAGATATAATACAGGGATATAAATGTCCATAGATATAATACAGGGATATTAATGTCAATAGATATAATACAGGGATAAAAATGTCAACAGATATAATACAGGGATATAAATGTCCATAGATATAATACAGGGATATAAATGTCCATAGATATAATACAGGGATATTAATGTCAATAGATATAATACAAGGATATAAATGTTAATAGATATAATACAGGGATATTAATGTCAATAGATATAATACAGGGATATACATGTCAACAGATATAATACAGGGATATAAATGTCCATAGATATAATACAGGGATATAAATGTTAATAGATATAATACAGGGATATAAATGTCCATAGATATAATACAGGGATATTAATGTCAATAGATATAATACAGGGATATAAATGTTAATAGATATAATACAGGGATATAAATGTCAACAGATATAATACAGGGATATAAATGTCAATAGATATAATACAGGGATATAAATGTTAATAGATATAATACAGTGATATTAATGTCAATAGATATAATACACAGATATAATTGTCCATAGATGTAATGCAGTGACTTGCCTGTGGTACCAGAGGTGTAAATGTAGCAGCAGGTGTCTTCTACAGTCAAGTCCTGCCTGACTGTGGGAGAAATGGCTACTGGTAGAGTTGTCACCATCAATGGGTCTAATGAGTAAACACCAGCTGGAGGAGGCCAGCATCCCAAGCCTTGAATGTAGACCTTGACTGGGCTTAAATCATTGATGATTTCTATCACAGCCTCCAGCAGAGCATCTCCTACAGAAAGTTAAACTAAATATTACTTCTATGGTAGCATTCAGCACAGCATCTCATAGAGAACAATTAAGCCATTTATGAATTCTATCACAGCCTCCAGTACAGTATCTCCTAGAGACAGCTAAACCATCTATAACTTCTATCATAGCCTCCAGTAGAGCATCTCCTAGAGACAGCTAAACCATCCATGACTTCTATCACAGCCTCCAGTACAGTATCTACTAGAGACAGCTAAACCATCTATAACTTCTATCATAGCCTCCAGTAGAGCATCTCCTAGAGACAGCTAAACCATCTATAACTTCTATCACAGCCTCCAGTAGAGCATCTACTAGAGACAGCTAAACCATCTATGACTTCTATCACAGCCTCCAGTACAGTATCTACTAGAGACAGTTAAACCATCTATAACTTCTATCATAGCCTCCAGTACAGTATCTACTAGAGACAGTTAAACCATCTATAACTTCTATCACAGCCTCCAGTACAGTATCTACTAGAGACAGCTAAACCATCTATAACTTCTATCATAGCCTCCAGTACAGTATCTACTAGAGACAGCTAAACCATCTATGACTTCTATCACAGCCTCCAGTAGAGCATCTCCTAGAGACAGCTGAACCATCTATGACTTCTATCATAGCCTCCAGTACAGTATCTACTAGAGACAGTTAAACCATCTATAACTTCTATCACAGCCTCCAGTACAGTATCTACTAGAGACAGCTAAACCATCTATAACTTCTATAACAGCCTCCAGTACAGTATCTACTAGAGACAGCTAAACCATCTATAACTTCTATCACAGCCTCCAGTACAGTATCTACTAGAGACAGCTAAACCATCTATGACTTCTATCACAGCCTCCAGTAGAGCATCTCCTAGAGACAGCTAAACCATCTATAACTTCTATCACAGCCTACAGTAGAGCATCTCCTAGAGTCAGCTAAACCATCTATGACTTCTATCACAACCTCCAGTACAGTATCTTCTAGAGACAGCTAAACCATCTATGACTTCTATCACAGCCTCTGGTAGAGCATCTCCTAGAGACAGCTGAACCATCTATGACTTCTATCACAGCCTCCAGTAGAGCATCTCCTAGAGACAGCTAAACCATCTATAACTTCTATCACAGCCTCCAGTAGAGCATCTCCTAGAGACAGCTAAACCATCTATGACTTCTATCACAACCTCCAGTAGAGCATCTCCGAGAGACAGCTGAACCATCTATGACTTCTATCACAGCCTCCAGTAGAGCATCTCCTAGAGACAGCTGAACCATCTATGACTTCTATCACAGCCTCCAGTACAGTATCTTCTAGAGACAGCTGACCATCTATGACTTCTATCACAGCCTCAAGCAGAGTATCTATAGAAACAGTTAAACCAACTATGACTTCTATCATAGCCTCCAGTAGAGCATCTATAGAGACAAACCATCTATGACTTCTATCATAGCCTTCAGTAGAGCATCTATAGAGACAGTTAAAGCATCTATAGAGACAGTTAAACCTCATATGACTTCTATCATAACCTCCAGTAGAGTTTTTTATAGACAGAGTTAAACCACCCACGACTTCTATCACAGCCTCCAGTAGAGCATCTATAGAGACAGTTAAACCAACTATGACTTCTTTCATAGACTCCAGCAGAGCATCTATAGAAACAATTAAACCATCTATGACTTCTATTACAGCCTCCAGTAGAGCATCTATAGAGACAGTTAAACCAACTATGACTTCTATCATAGCCTCCAGTAGAGCATCTATGGAGACAGTTAAACCATCTATGACTTCTATCACAGCCTCCAGTAGAGCATCTATAGAGACAGTTAAACCATCTATGACTTCTTTCATAGCCTCCAGTAGAGTATCTATAGAGACAGTTAAACCATCTATGACTTCTATCATAGCCTCCAGAAGAGCATCTATAGAGACAAAGCATCTATAGAAACAGTTAAACCATCTATGAGCAGGAAAAGGTTAACATACATCCAAGTATAGCTCCATGTAATGATACAAACAAGCTTGAAAAAAGAACAGAATTCTTCAACAAATTAAGTGAAAAAATCAGTAAAGTCAGGGAGGCGTCCGCGGCTCGGACATTGGGAGTAATTTCAATGTACTGCGATCAAAACCCACAGCTGAATGCATGGATTTTTAATCATGGTATAGGGCATTGCAGGTAGACCTAGCCTAAAATGGGTTCTAGGATGGATGTCCTGGGGAAGTAAAGACGGCTGGCGTAATGCTGACCACATTACCCACCTAGTGACGATGGTCTGTAAAAATATGGGTGCTCTTCCCATGTGCCCAAGGCGTAAAAAGGGATCTTTACTTTACTTTTACTTATCAGTAAAGTCAAAGATTCTGACAGCCTGTACATAATGAGGATTTTAATGAATGTGTAGGAGGGCGCAGGACGCCATGAGAGAGATATCTTAGTCCCTTCAGCGATACAACTGAATGTAATTCTAGCGGAGAACAACTGCTGCATCTTTGTGCAGAACATGACTTCGAAGAAGTCAAATATCAACATGGTATAGATGGAACAACTTATGTAAAGCATCACAGATTGATTTTATTTTGACAAGTTGGAGAATACAGAATTCCAGGGACATCCCAAAGGCATTAATAGATTCAGACCATATACCAATAGTACTTTTGTTTCATAAACCAGCTGGAACACACGCCAAGAAACCAGTTAACAAGCAGAGGTGATAAATACTGTGAAACTAACAGATAAAGAAGTTGCTGAGGAAATAGGCAGTCAGAATCTCCTTCACCACCCTTACAGAAGCAAACAACATAGAATTTGAGTGGCAGACTTTTAAAACCTGCATGCTGAACACACTGAAAGAGTACTGCGGTTTCAGAAAAAAGTGGGAACTCAGAGAAAACATACAATGTTGCAGAATGAAGATGTTAAAATATCTATCCAAGAAAAGAAACAAATGTTTTTATAAGTGGCAGAAGACAAAATCAGATGAAGACTACATCAGCTATAGAAAAGTGAGAAGAGACTGCAAAAGGAAAGTAAAAGCGGCAAAATCAGAATCTTGGGCAGACTATGGAGATCAAGCAGCGAAACTATGCACTGAGTCACCAAGAAAGTTTTACAGAAGTGTCAAAGCAATGAGACTGAGAGAAGACAAGTTTAACCCCTCCACTGTTATTAACAGCAAGAGTCAGAAAACACTCACCAGCAGTCCAGATATTAAAGACAGATGAAAGGTATATTTCAGTGAGCTGTTAAACTGTGGAACATCGGATGAAGTACCACACCAAAATAAATTTGCAAAAGATCGTAAACCAAAGATACTGGAATCTGAAGTTGAAAATGTCCTTAAACGAAGTAAAAGGAACAAGGCAGCGGGAATAGATGGTATCACAACAGAAATGCTCCTTGCATCTAAGACAACAGCAACAGCTTAGTTAGCAAACTGAATCGTCAACAGTTTAAGGATATAATGTCTACTATTAATCAGGTATACCACATCGATAATTTTGAAACTGAAGCCTTGAGTTGGTCTGACTTTTTGGAAAACGCGAGAATACAAAAGTAGCCAAGATTTCATCGACTTGTACCTTTTACAAAGTTTTATCCGAGTGTCAGGTATGCCTTACTAGTTTTGCTGACATTACCAGCAACAACATGTACTGTGGTGCGATCGTTCAGCACATTACGTCGTGTAAAAACATGGCTTAGATCTACAATGTCAGATGAACGTCTGTATGGATTGTGCATGTTAAGCGTACACAGAGACAAAGTGAACTGCAACAAAAAAGACTATGGACAAAATTGTAAACATGTTTGGTAGTGATAACTGACGACTCCAGTTCTTGTTTAAAGAATACATTTTATTTTAAATTTATGTTGTAATATTGTTTGTTATATACATATATTGTGTTAGTAAACAATTTGTTGCTACAGTATGCCCTTCATTACTACAGGGTCCTGTCCGTTTGTTCACCATACAAATACGCTACAGTAAATTAAAACTACATTAAAACATTACTAAAAAATATTTCCCCCTCCCCTAGAACATTTTCTGCGGGCGCCCATGCACCTAACCAGTGGTGGAACCCACAGTAATATTCCATGATTGAAAAAAAATAAGTACACTATTCTCACAAATAGCGGAAATCAAAACCCGCATTCGTCATCTCTCCCTGTCTGAAGGGACGATATAGAATTAACCTTGGCATCCGTGTCGACCCAAACCAAACTGGACCGTAAGCCGTCTTAGTTAACAGTGTCTGTCATCAAGGAATAGTTTTTGATCAAGTGAAGCGTCGGGTGGAGGCTAATTTTGACAAAACTGAAATCGAATGTCTTTGGGCATAAAGGCGCAGATATCGCAACCTAGCTGTAAACCACAACACAACGTGCCAACCGCCCTCTCAAGGGCAAACAAATATTCCCCATGAGCATCACGTTACCGCTATCGCAGGCTAGCTGTAAACCCAAAAATCGAGCGGGGAAAAATACGTAAATTTTGCAGCCTAGCCACAAAAAACATGGCAGCCACCCAGTTAGGGGCCAAAAATAAAAATAAAAATTATGTCACCCATCGGGAAATCAACCACGAACCACGTAGCTCCAGCAACGGTCAAATCATTATTTGTTTCGTTGCCGGCCCAGATTTGTTGTTAGTTGATTGGCCACCTTTGACTGCTGAGCAGGGCTGCCTATAAATGCCTTTTCCCCCAGGATCAATCTCCAAAATGTCTTTACTGATCGCATTCACACAACGTTGCCTTAGGCTCTGCGCGTGTTTGTATTAGGGTTGTACCGAATAGGGATTTTCATGTTCGGCCGAACCTGAATAGCGGGACCAACTATTCGGCCAAATACGAATAGTGTATCATCATTATCAGGTGCTTTGCCGACTGGCGTGGGCCTTGTCACAATCTGCGATCTCCTGCAGCATCTATTAGTTCAAGTGCCGACACACTTCCGTGCCATGCAACAAGACTGTTGAGAATCTTCTCTCT